ACATTGGGAGTAAATAAGGGTGTCCCACCATAGAAACCCAAGAGCATGTTTGTCCCCTTGCCTGAAGAACCAACCACCAACATTGATCAATGCTGCTGCTGATACCATTGCTGGATGAAGGGGAAAAGGCCAGTCAAAACCGGATTCAAGACACAAGGCATTAGGGCTAATAAAAAACACACAAGCATGGCGAGACTCTCTTGGAAAAAGAACCGGCAACAAGCTCTATAAAAGGAGCTGCATTCCCAGCATAAAGAACATATATATGAGAACAAAAAACACACATACAATACACCAACACTACATAGACCCGAAGAAGGGAGGAAGGAACTCCAAGAAGAAGAAGCCCAGTAGCAGCAAGGAGGGATAACAGGCCTCACTCGCCTGAGTGACTTCTGTCACTTAGGCGAGTGACCTGTTGTCCAGCATTCAGATTTGCTTCTTCTCGCTTCTTTCTTTCCTTTCTTATATTTTCTGTAGTTTGTATGTGTAGTTAGTCAGATTTCATTCTCTGGAACCTATGTAATTTGAGTTTTTAATGCACTTGTTGAATACATGTTTTGAAGTTGGAAGTTTTTCTATATTCGGTTACTTGATCACTAATTGAATGCATACTAGAACTAGGGGAGATCTGGAAAGATAAACTTGGTTTGGATAGATTTCAGCTTCAACTTATAACTTGTAGGTAACAGTACAAGGTTCTGATTGAGATAGGAATATACTTGGTTAGTATAAGCATTCATGTAAGGCTTGAAAACTTAATGACTTCGTGCTTGTTTGAACGTCAACTTACATTTCATTTTGCCACTTAAAAGTGGAAAGTGTTTCAAGTTGAAAACTAAATAGGAAATAAAAATGTTTTTTGGATGTTGGTTTTGAAAAAAAGTATTTTGAACTACATTTTAAAATATGAAATACAAGTCATCACTAAACAATTAAATATTATCAATTATAGTCACTGCAAAAAAGAACTTTTCCAAAAACAATCACTCAACAACAGAATCTTGCCAAATTTGTCATTGAACTATTTGTAGTTCTAAAATGGTCATTACACTAACAAAAAGTGTTTCAAGTTGGAATTTAAAATATAAATCAGAAAGTTGTTTGGATGATGTTTTCTTTTCCATTGGGTTTTGTGTTTAAGAGGTAAAACGAGTGAAAATTCAAAATGAGTTGATGTCCAAACAAGGCCTCATGACTTGATTAATCATTGAAAAATAGTTTAATTGAGTTCATAAAGATACCTCTAGGAAAAATCAGAAGTGACTTAGAGATATATAAGTGCCTGAATGAGCATGAAATCATACCAAAAGAGTGCAAGATTACCACTTGATTACATAGGGAAAAGAGAATGAATATCTCAGTTTGTTGAGTCAGTCCCCTGAGTCAGAATTCTCACTCCCGTGAGTGAGGTTTCAGTTGTCTGTTTGTCTTCAGTTCTGCAGAGTCCATTCGCGTGAGTGACTTTGTCACTCGGGCAAGTGAGTCTGTAATTTTCTTCCTTGTTTGTCCAACTCTTATATTCTTGTTTGTTTTCCGGTTATTTGAAGTATAACCCGTCCCTATGGGATCGACCCGACTTATCCTATCTACATTTTAAGTTGGTAATTTATTTTGGGAGCTTCGACAATCCACCAGCAACATCGCGACATTACGCTTTGCAGTCTGAATCCATACTTATTTTCAATAAGAGTCCGCTCCTCTACACTTCGCGCCTTCAAATGATGAACTGATAAAACATTTAGCATTTCCACCTTAGTTGCGGAAATTACCTTCTCGCGATTGAAGCACTCCCCATCATATAGCAGCCTATTCCTCATTTTCCAAATCTCCCAAAGGATAAGAGATGGAGCAATTTTGACCAAAGCTTTTAATGTTGAAGTAAAACAGCCCCGTTTCCACCATTCTTGTAAAACAGCAAGTAAGCTTGCTTCCTCCCGCCATGGTAGCTCAAACAAATGGAAGAAATGTTTCCAAACTTCCTTGACCTCCGAGCACTCAAGAACATGAATCACATGAGTTCTACAAAAGAGACAAATAGATGGCATAACATGTAATCCACACTTTTTCCGGAAATGGAACAAGTAAATAAGAAGTTTTCTTGGCCAAAAATTCTTTGATACTGAGCTCATGACAAGGTGGACGAGCATTAGGATCCTCCCATATAACCCCCACAGATGTCCAATTGTCATACCAAAAGGACCGATCACCTCCATTAACAAGAAACTTCGAGCATTTGGCCGCCTCCGTATCAACTTTCAAAACCCTACTCCATGAGGTTTTATCCCTTGCTGAATTTGACAGAGACATTATGAACTTGTTCCATAAGCCATGTTGCTGTTTGAATTTCCACCATAGCTTACAAGAAAAAGCTTGCACAACATCCTCAACTTTCGCAACCCTAATCAATTCTCTGACGTAGGAATAGACAATCGATCCCAAGCCCTCCAATGCCTTTTCTTTTCATCACTCGCACCCTGCCATAAAAACCTTTGACACCTTTTTTCCATTTCCTTCAAAACCGTTTTTTTGGGGGGGGGGGCGCGCCGACAATACATGTATTGGCATAGCTGCCAGGACATGTCACAATAGAATTAACCTTCCACTCGGACTTAGAAACTTGTTCTTCCAACTAGCAACCTTTGAATCCAAAGAATCCAAAAGAAATTGAAAGAAAGCTGTCTTACTTCTTCCACAAAACAAGTTTCACCCCAAGTACATGAATGGAAAGGAACCCTTAGACATATCCAAAATCCTTTTAATTGCTTCAACCCGAAACGCACTACAAGACTCCGCCACTAGGAAAAAGCTCTTACTGTGATTCATTCTTTGACCAGAAGCTATTTCATAAGCTTCCAGAAACTTATTCAACCCCTTCGACGGCCTTGTTTCACCCCTTGTAAAGATTACCAAGTCATCAGTAAAGCTTAAATGGGAAATTCTCATTGAACCAGCCGACGTGCCTTAAACAGCAATCTTCTTTTGTTGAACAAGATCATTCAATTTTCTGGACATTGCCTCTGCTATCAAGATAAACAAATAGGGTGACAATGGATCACCTTGCTTTATTCCCCGAGACAGCTGGAAGAACCCTGTTGGAGAGCCATTCACCATATCTGAAAACCAGCTATTTCTAAGATTATTCATAATCAACAAAATGAAGTGAGCTGGAAACCCTAGCTCCCGAAGAACCTTCTCCAAAAAATCCCATGAAACTCTATCAAACGCCTTTATCATATCTATCTTGATAACAACATTATTCCCAACAGCCTTATGATTAATGAACTAACAAAGGTCTTGAGCCAAAACCACATTATCAATTATATCTCTTCCCCGACAAAAAAAAACAGACTGCTCCTTAGAAATGATTTTAGGCAAAACCAACTTCAGTCTTTTGGTTAGAATTTTTGTAAAGACCTTATTTAGAAAATTACACAAACTAATAGGCCGAAAATCTGAAAATGCACTAACCGAAACCTTCTTGGGAATTAAGGTAATCACAGTACTTGCCACAACCCTAGGAAGAGGAGTACCTCCGATGAAGTCCTGACATGCAGTTAGAAGATCATCAGCGACAATATCCCAACAAGCTTTGTAAAAGAAACCCCCAAAACCATCAATTCCAGGCGTACTATCTTCATCAAGATTGAAAACCGCATTCTTCACCTCATCCATAGTGACCGGCCTTACAAGCATTTCCTTATCCTCCAAACTCAAATCATCCTTAAGCGTTTCCAAGAAGATTTGTTGTTTTTCATTTTGCTGCACATGCGGTTGTTCCTCCGCAAGAAGAAACTGGAAAAAACTCACCGCCTCCTTCTCTATATCCTCCAATTCTATTAAAACCCGACCATCCTCCGTTTGTATTTTTTGAATTCCCATCCTCAACTTTCTTTCAATAAGAGAGGCATGAGAATAGGCAGTGTTATTATCTCCCTCCTTCAACCATTTTAGGCGCATTCTCTGTTTCCAGAAATCATCATGCTCCTTGAGTTTTTGAAGCAAATTGGCATTAGCTAAGCTTAAGTTCTGCCTATCATTCGCATTACCAGAATGACCATAGACAATTTTCCTGCTCGTTCACTCTATCTTCCGCCATCTTCAAGTTTTGAAAGACATCGCCGAAATGCGTTTTATTCCATTCCTTAAGAAAGACATTCAAACGCCAAAGCATCTTAGAGAAAGCCACCATACCAAAACTACCAACCAGCTGCAACCAACTAGCTTTAACAATATCATTAAAATCACCTCTTCGAAGCCACATTTTTTGGAACCTAAAACATCTCGGCCTAGTCTCAAGTTGAGCATCAAAATGAAGCAGCAATGGGGAGTGATCCGATGTAGTACGACTCAAATGCTCAATGGAAACCCGTCCATCCACTCCGGAGAGAAAAGAATACGATCCAACTTCTTGCTAACCCATCCATTAGCTCGTGTTCCACCCCAGATAAATTCATCTCCAACCGGGGAGACTTCCATCAAAGTATTCACCTCAATACACTGATTAAATTCATCAATAGCACCATAGTCCTAAACTGAGTTGCCTGAATACTCGTCAAGAGACCTTATGACATTGAAATCCCCTCCAACAACCCAAGGTTGGGGTAGATGTTGAGTCCTAAAATTTTCCAGATCAGCCCATAAAGATCTTCTCTCCACCTTATTTGACTTTGCATACACCGCCATAAGTAGGAAGATCCTTTGAAGTGGTACATATCCAACCTCAAAATGCATCATTTGTTCACCAACTTCCAACCGATTAACAGTAAATAATTTACTATGAAAAACCCAAAACTTGCTAGTGCTGGAAGAGAAAGCAAAACAAAGTTCAGCCCACGCCTTATTTCATCCAACTTATTTATAGCTAACATTGGCTCCAGAATCACCAAAAAAACAATTCTATACATCCGAATGAGAGTTCTCAAGCGTCACTGGGAAGCTTGTTTTCTTATTCCTCTAACATTCCAAAATATAACACTTATCATTGGAAAAAATGGAGATTATTGAAGGCGAAGAGATCGCCGAAGCTCTTTACCATCCAGCAGCTTGGCGTGCTCCACCTTCAAGTTGCGGCCTCGCTTCTTCTTGATTGAAAATTCCCTTTGCGCATTCTCCCTTCTTCTTATTCCCTTCAGACCAGCAATCTGTCTGAGCAGCTTCATCATCATCCGTTTCAAATGAATCCGCAAGAAAAGAGTCATCCGGGCAAGAGAGTTTGCCGGCAAACCCTCATTAACAAGATTATTTGAGACCTTGTCAACAAGAGTCAACTGGTTGTCATTATGTTCTTCCGTAAATACATTCTCCACATCATCATTATCATCTTCATTTTCGAAAGTTTTAACCGCATCACCATAGTCATCAATGTCTTGAAGAATCGCAAACTTGTTTGCTTGCGATACTGGGGCAGATTTATTCAGATCACATAGCTTAGAATGGTCATCCATTGTTTCTATATCCTGCAAGACCACTAGCTGAGTTGATTGTGATAGAAGGCCAACTTCCCCTTGCGCGTTAGTTTTCATTCACGAATCATCAGCAACTCGAGTCTCAGGAACAACATGGACAGTATCTTCCAAATGGTAATGCCCAGGATCAGAAGGGGAACTATCCACAATATCGACAGGAACAACGCACTTGTCTTTCACGAACAATCCTGAAATTGAACCCCCGTTGCGTGCTAGGGTTTCCGCAGGCCGCGACTCAGCGACTTTCGACTCTACTCCTTTAACAGTCAGGGGGTTTTCCTGAATGATCTCAACCTGCAAGTCAGTCGACTTTCCCGTCTTTCTAGAGCCCCATGTCACTTTTTTCTGCTGCAATCGAATTCCATTCTTGTTCCCGGCCGTTTTCATTTCCAAATCCGCGTGTTCGGCCTTCTTTGCATCAGCCTTTAACACATTCAATGCCACTCCTTTACCCTTCCTACAATCAAATTCCTTATGCCCGATCTTGCAATAAGCCGAGCAGTATGACGGAACATATTCATAGGTATAGAGCTGCTCATACTTCTTACCTTTTTTCCCAATGCGAATTGACTTCCGCAACTCCGTCGTGAGGTCAACCTCACCACAGAAGCGCGCTACAGATGGCCTCGTCAAATTGAGGGTTGGCGTGTCAACTTGAAGAGGCTTCCCAACAGCAGATGCAATAGAGAAAAGAACCTTGCGGTGTGTCCATTCTAAGGGGAGCTCATGGAGCGAAACCCAGATTGGGACAATCAGAGGGTCTTCTTCGAACTTGAAGCCCAGTTGCCATTTCAAAATGCACATTTGATAGCCTCCAATATTCCATAAGGATGTGATCCAACAGTGTTGATAATCTTCCTTCAACTCAAACCGAATCAACACATGTTGTGAATTCATGAGACCAAGAAAATATGATCCCTTGAATCCAATTTTCTTGAAGTCCTCGTGCAAGGCCTCAATTTTTGGTCTGCATAAGAAAATTTACCCACCAGATTCATCTTGTGCAGAGCAATCAATTCTTCAAATTTCTCATCATCATATTCAAGCTCCGGCGTTCCATTGAAGAAGGTAACCTTCTTAGGGTGCATAGGAGAAATCAAGTCTTCCAAAGGCGGGTTGGAGAGAACTGGTTTTGCAAAGAAGCTTGCAAAGGTGCGAATTTGTCCAGTGGGGACAACCGCGGTTGCTCGTGGCACACCGGCCATGATGGCCGGAGAAAACTAGCCGTCAAAATTAGGGTTCGCGAGAGAGAGAGAGAGAGAGAGAACTCCAAACTAATTATTGCATTTAATAAACAAAGCTCTAGCTATTCGCAATAGATGTTGATGTTTTCTTTCCACAATGCCATTCTAAAACATTTTTTCATTTCAGCATGTTTGATAACAAAAAATGAACCTCTTAATAAATTAAGTGGTGCTGAAACTGCAGTACAAAATATAAGCAATAAAAATTAGCTTATTGCTTATTCCTTAACTGCTTAATGAATTCACTATTTTTAATTCAGTATTAAGCATTCATAATTAAGCACTAATTTTTATCAAACAGACCCTAAGATTTGTAGGGATGCATTCAACACTTCTATCTTCAACATTATAAATTCCGGTATCCTTTTTGTCCCCTCCCATTGTGGAGTCCCGATTGTCATCTGTGAAATATATACAATTAGTTTTAATTCAACTTCTCTCCCATTTTGTGATCTTTGTGTCACATAGATAAACTTTGAAAGTCGTAGTGTAATAGTAACTTTTGCCATCATTCAATGAAGGGCCACCATTATCTACTCGCAAAATCTGTAGTAACTTCTCAAACGATGATTCCACCAAACATAACTTCCTATAGGGTAACAAGAAATCTATGGTGAAGAGAATACGAATTGTTGTCGCAGGCGAACTATCATCCCAAACTCCAGAATGAGTGATTGCGTAAAACTTTCTTTTGTAGTACTTTACATGTTCGAATACGTACTTGTAATGTGTTTCTATCCACGTCCAGGCTAAATCTCCATGCATACAAAACCCTAGAAACACACCGCCAAATAGAGTAGCAAACAAGATAAAATTTGACGTATTGGATGGATTCGTGACAATATGGCTAGCGGCGCATATAATACAAAAACGGTTTAGGCGGCTTGTAATCTTTATACAACTTAGGGAGAGTTTGAAAACTGGGGAGGTGAATCTGTTGGCGGGAGAAGGGATTTAACAAAGTGATGTCCCCCGAATCCGAAAGAGTAAATAACCATTCAAATCCAACATCCATGCATCATTTGTACTTTATTTCTGGGAGTGATAATCTCATACAAATCTTTCTTTACGATAGGCTGTAAAATTCGCCTTCCATGTAATCATAGTCTTCCTCGTGTTCATCTGCCAACATAAGCCACGGAATTCTAGGACGAGAAGTGAACTTGTCTCTATTGGTGGCCGCTCTTCAAGAAATACACACGCCTCTGAACGCCATGAAATATTCCACAAGGGATATACGTTTGGCTATCTCCACCACTGGATTTAGTGAAATGGCCGACCAATCAGTCAATATTGGTTCCATCAAGGCGAGATGTCTCGAGTTTTGGTTTCGAGTTCCAATTTTGATTTGGTTTGGTGGAAAGACAATAGAGGAATAAGGTTGTACTCCCTCCGTCCCGAAATTATTATCCAGTTTATAATTTTAATTTCAGTACAAATAGTGTTAGAAATACAAATCTAAATCATCAAGTAAAATATAAACACATCAAATTATGATACGTTAAATAAGTAAAAGATTGAGTTTAAGAAACGGAGTTTGGATTAAGGCACGCCAAAGGCGCTGTCCTAAGAAGAGATACGTTCTTTCCACACAGAGTTTGACGGTGTTCTTTTCCGAATATACAACAATCCTCTTAGGAGTTCCGGTAGTGGTAGAGCTCTCTATATTGCGAACGATCATGATCCGACTTGCCCAACTCAGATATAGAAAATGGGTTTCTAGAATATTAAATCTTTGAAAGATTGTTTAACAAACACAAGTGTTAAGAAAATCACTTATAGAAACACTTTTGTCAAAAATATGTAGGAGAAGAATGTTAAGAATAACTTAACTAATATAACTTGTTCTCTTCTTTCTCTATCACCCAAGTACACATATATAGTCAACAATACTGTTTAATAGCAATGGCTATAACTCCCTAGTATTTAATTTGAACATTAACCCCCACATTTATCCCATATTTATTTTAAAAATAATGTTAGTGAGTAATGATATTGTAACAACTCTAATTTTTAATATTGAATTAAATATATTTGTAACAATCCCCCACATAATTCAATATTAAAATATTTTAAAATTTTAAAATAAAACTTGTTGGGCAAAAATACCATGCAATAGGTGATAGGTGTCTTCTGGACTTGAACCTTCACTTAGTGACAACTAGGTCTATATGGAGAATCATGGTAACGTATAGTTTTGAACCAGACTCTTTAACTCAAATTTTCCAAGTAGCATACATGGTATGGATACTTAGATCAGTTCTAGCGGTTGTGCGCTCTTAACGGCCATGCGCGAGTATCTTTGATTCATGAATGCTATCTAGGGATTAGCCTTCATCCCAGAGTAGCGGCCTAACTACTAGCAATCATATAGGTAAGTCCTCCAAGAGTGTTTGTGATCCACACCCTGCAGATTTTTGTCTTGGACTCATTCAGAGATATATTCTTCATTTTTCCATTACAAGTATCAACACTCATCTTATGAATGAGAAAGGGATATTTCCCTATATATATGTCTGTGGATAATAGACATCCATATAGTGTCGTTTGTACCTACTGAACCTCCTTCATGGGATCTCCAATCACAGAGGTTAGGTGTCCACTATGATGACTTGTTCATAGGCTTTAAATCTTATTCCCCTCGATGATTTAGTAAGCCAATCTTTTATAAAGATTTCAGCTTAGTTATTTTATGCCCCACAATCAAGACTTGTCTTGACTTAGTGATTATTTTGTAGCATGCTTCTGGTACCAGAGACATATCTCATTTTTTCCGACTATTATCTGAAATCCATCACGATTTTGTTGAGCTTTGCTCAAATATAATCCTTCCCAATGTTGAAGAAAATTAATTTCCTCGAATATATTAAATATGGAGATAATATTGGACCATTTGTTTTATACTTTTACATATTCCCTTCACTTGTAAATGCACCATTTTAGCAACTTTGATTCCACCCGAATATGATATCTAATTTTTATTATACTTTTGGGTCACATTTGGATATATAGGCACCGCTAGATGTGTTATAGTTTTATTTCAATATTTGAAACCACCACAGTTTAGTAGTCAGTAGTCTTACTATTAGAAATCACCATGAAAAATGACATGTAGCCTACTATTAGGAACTACTAAGTAGCCAATAGCCTCACTACTAGGAATAATAACATGATGATAAATAATCTACTACTAGGAGCTGCTAATTTCAATTGTAACTTTGCACTTCATTCATGGTCAGTAATGTTATTATTACTTGGAACCATTTATATTTATGAATGGTCACTAGCTTCATTATCTAGTAGGAACCATTTGTCCGATAATCCTCCAAATACACCAAGTGGGGTTATGCAATTTTACCACACAAAAATATTTTTGGTGCAAAAATCGACTTCCAAAGGTGAGTGTTATGTTTTTCAAAACTAATATATCACAACTTCATGCTAAAATAATTAGTGCACGGGACTTGCAACCAGATAAACTCAATAGTATTTCTTCAAATAATTTTTGAAATTAATAGATAGAATATTATTGCTCTATTTTTAATATTTATTTATTAAACACTCTTTTTTGTCAAATAGACGGAAGTATGTTACATGTAACACATATTAATAAACTTGAAATTAGAAAGAACTCTGTTAACCAGCCCATATAGTGATCATTTACTTCCTACATTTTATTTTATCAACGACCACATTATCATTAGAAAATATTATAATATAATTAGAAAAGATGAAATCATAAATATAATTTATAATATTTAACATCCCACTAATTCCATTCTTAATAATAACATTCTTAAATGACATTTACTTTCTTGACTAAATTATATGCAAAATAAACAACCACCAACAAAATTTATGAATGTTAACTTGACAAAATTTATAACGTAAATATTTAAACATAACTGTTGCGAATTGTAACTTCATGTATTATTGGCCATCATTCTTACTTAAAAAATGATGTTGGCAATGGATACATTATGAGAAAGTATATTCAGTCTTTGTATTACTCTAAACGTTACTTCCTTCTCTTAAAAATAATAATAATAATAATAATAAAATTTCTTTACCTTAAAGCGGATACCTTCATATAATTAGAATACAAAAACATGTCATATGCAGACTACAACATAAGTCATTTCCAAATACAGTTTTTATAATTTTTCCTACTATTCATTGAATTCAAATCTAATGCATTTGATTAATGCTTTTGTAAACACACACAAAGCACATACTCACTACTCATTTTTGATACTCTTGCCAATTAAAATGTCAAGAATATTAAACAATTTCAGTTACCACTTTGGAGTTAATATATCACATAAATTCATGTAGATGTTATGCTAGAAAGTTTCGTCATGGTTTTAAAGATTATTTGGATCCATTAATGCACGGAACGCATAATTAGCATCTAGCAAACCATATACTTAGCATCTTGTAGACACCAGCAAGTTAACATCATGTATATGATAAGATTTATACATATGTCCACTCCTGGAATAAAATTTCAGTTTTGCTCACTTTTCCTTTATGTAGATTGACCATTCTATTCAATCTGATGTGCATTTTCTACGTTGTAGAAAAATCAATGGTGATCTTCCACAGTCACAACAATATATGCAAAGAAACAAATGGTTTGAGTCAATAATTTTATAATCATATATCTCTTCTTAGATTGTTAGAAATATAAATCTAAATCATCAAGTAAAATATAAACACGTCAAATTATGATACGTTAAATAAGTAAAAGACTGAGTTTAAGAAATGGAGTTTGGATTGAGGCACGCCAAAGGCGTTGTCCTAAGAAGAGATACGCCCTTCCCACACAGAGTTTGACGGCGTTC